GGGGGAAGGTGCTGAGTCAGTAGGATTGCTTCAAATTCAAGGCCAGCCTGGGCTACATAGTGAGTCCAGCCCAGCCTGAATTGTATAGTGAGATCCTGTCTCAAAAACAAAAACCAAAACTCATCATGGAGCTCCAGCTGGCCTCAGCCTCCTGAGTGCTGGGATTACAGACATACGCCACCAGACATGGCTATCTTTAATTCTTTTGGGAAGATACCTAGAAGAAGAATAGTTAGGTCAAGAGGAATTACTAGTTTTAGTTTTTTGAGGACTATCCACACTGATATCCATAGTAGTTGTCCTATTTTACATTCCCACCAACAATGTAGAAAGGTTCCTTTTCCACAGCAGCCTCATGATCTTTAGTTACTATTTGATTTCTTGATGATGGACATTCTCTTTATGGAGTTAACTGGTATCTTGTTGTTGTTTTGATTTGTATTTCTCTAGCAGCAAGAGATATTTGAACATTTCTTCATGATTTGTTGGCCGTTTGTACTTCTTTCATGAAGTGTCTCTCATTTTATTTGTCCTTTGTTTTGATTGGGTATTTTATTTTGAGGGGGTCTAACTTTTGAATTCTTTATATATTCTAGATATTAGTCCTCTGTCTGAGGGATAGCTGGAAAAATTTTTCTTAGTCTTTAGGTTGTCTTTTCACCCTGTTGGTTGTTTCTTTTGCCATGCAGAAGCTTTTTAATTTGATATGATCCCATTCTCAAAATTAGTTCTTATGGCATTGGTGTTCTGTTCAAAGACCTTGCTTTTGCCTATGACTTCAAGAGTTTTATGTATTTTTTTATTTTGTTTTATTTTTTGAGGGTCTTACTACATAACCTAGGGTGACCTTGAACTTCCTGCTTCAGCCTCCCAAGGGCTGGAATTACATAGATCTGTGCCACCAGGCCCAGCAGGAGTTTTACCTATTTTATTTTTCAGCAGATTAAGTGTATCTGTTTTACCAATTAGTTCTTTGATGCATTTTGATTTTAGTTTAGTACACAGTGAGAGATATGTATGTAGATTCAATTTTTTGCATGTGGATAGCCAGTTTTCCTAGCACCATTTATTAAATCTTCCTCCAGTTGCAAGTTTTTGGCCCCTTTGTCGAAGATCGAATAGCTAAATGTGACTGGGGCTGTTTCTGCATCCTCTATTTTGTTCTACCTCTCCTCATGTCTTTTTTGTGCCATACATTGGTGGTACAGCTAGGCATGGTGGTGCACGCCTAAAATCCCAGCACTTGGGAGGCTGAGGCAGGAGGATCGTTGGGAGTTCAAAACCAGCCTGGGCTACAAAGTGAGCTCAAGGCCAGCCTGAACTGCATAGTGAGACCCTGTCTCAAAAAGACAAAACAAAACAAACAAACAAAAAAAAATGGTGGTACATTTTAATCACTTCGTAGATCTTTGTTAAATAAATGGATGACTTGAAAATTTCTGAATGGAAACAAATCTTCACCTATAGAGCTAATCTGCAATGATCAATGTGTTTGCCTGAGAAAGTACAAAAAGGCAGAGGAATTGCTGGCAGTGCTGAACAATATAAAGATACAGGCATCGGTGATTTCTTTTCTGTTGCAAAAACTAAATTCATGTATTAGCCTTCCTCATTCCTGGTAGTTTGATAAAAAAGTATGTCGTTGAAAGTTAGACATATCTGATTTTGCTGCATTATCTTGTATGAATGTCAACCATATATGAATCACCTAACTTGCTATATGAATCATTTACCTATATGAATCACTTACTCTTCTGTGAAATAGAGTAATAGCAGATATTTCACTAATTTGTTAAAATAATTAAAGATACACATGAAATCACCTAACAAAGTAGGTGATTTTTAAAGCACAATCTATGTCCTACTTTCCTTATTTAAAAATGTGCTATACTTGTGTATGGTATTATATCCCTGCAATCCCAGCACTTGGGAAGTGGAGGCAGGAGGATCTCCCTTGCAGTTCAAGATCAGCCTGGGCTATGTAATGAGTGAGCTTAAGGCAAATCTGACAAAAAACATATGGAGACCTTATCTCAGAAAACAACAAGAAAAATGTGCTCTTCATAATTGTCAGAAAGTTAACATCTCCCTTGTATTCTATGAAAAAAATCTTATAAATAAGTACTGAAATTTTATTTTCATGCCTTTGTGTTATATTTGCAACTGTTTAGGGGGTAAATAGTGTTACTTTAATTGTAATGAATTAGTAATAAAAGAGCAGAGTTAAGGCTAAAAGCAAAAAGATGCTTTTGTGACAAGTTAAAGCCATATGATATCATCTTGGTTATATTAATGAGGATTTCATAGTAATCTGAGTAGAACAAAGAGGGCACAAAAATGAATAGCTGCGATGATTGTATTGCTGTTGTCTGATGGTATATTGAAATGAACAGTTAATGCTCACAATTTTTTATGTTCTGATCGACTGTGTATGCTTGTGTCCGGTGGTCTGAGCAATTGATTTGAAGGTAACAGTATGCAATGGAATTACAATGGTGAACTCCTACTATCTTGTCTAGTGAAACTCTGTATTATCTTTAAGGTTTTATTGAAGAATTATTTTCTTATTGTCTTTAATGGTTAGAGCAATATTTTGTTCTTACATCTGATAATCTGAGCAATGTAGTTGAGGACAGCGATATGCAATGTAACAACCACTGTTGATTTGTATTAATTTGTCTTGAGACCCTGTGTCACTCTGAATGTTCTTGCTTTGATTTATTTATGTTTGTGGTACTGGTATGCTGCTACTGTTCTATTTTTTT